ACAAACTGGCACGCAGGTAGGTAATAAGGGTGGACGACCTTCCTCTACTACTACATTACTTTCTTCTACTACTTCAGTACACCATCATGTCGAAAGAGATCGTCCATGAAGCGTCATATGACCGTAAACCAGACGGAACCCTTGTGATGCATATCAATGGCATGTTGTCCATCACATTCAAAACTGCCATTTCTTCAGAATTCCGGGAATTTCCAGGCATGGCTGTACGACAGACTCGGTCTGGTGATATTGTTGTCGATGCTCGCCCACGAGTAATTCAGTGCAGTCCGTCAACAGCATCAGTACACGTGCGTAGCTCGTATATCGACATGGGAGTACAGGTCAGTGGTTTCTTACTCCATTCAGTGTATCAGAGCCGATATGCAATGATAGGTGATAGGGAATCTTGGAGGGATGGAAAGCTTGGTTTGCTTGGGCGAGTATCAATCCTCCGCCCGTTACAATACTCGTGAAATGCATGAGTTGTTTCAGGAAAGCGAGAAGGCGTACGTGAAACGCGGTCTGAAGCGTGTACATGTGTCTCGATCGGGAATGGTGGTGTCAGATGGTAACTGTATTACATCCATGGATCATTTCGGACGTATTGTCAGCAGCACGTAACTGCACGTAACCACCGCTGCTCGATTTGCCGACATTATTTCTCTTCGACCCTGATTTTCATCTTCACAGAGACACACCGTAATATTGTTGCCGTTGCTGTTTTTTAATGGTGGTTTTATTGATGTTCCTTCTTTCGAGCCTTCCGTAGCCCCACGATATCGACTGAATTTGTGTCTCTGTCCTTTGTGTGTCGACTCAGCTCGACTATTCGTTTTTTCTTTGTATGTGCTCAAAAAGAGACTTTCTCGGTCCTTTGTAGGCATTTGGATCTGCTAAAGCTGTACTTACAGCTTTTATTGAGATATCTACTTGATGTCTGCCTTAATGTGTAGGTAGCTGCGCATCGTACTTGTCCCATTGTTCCATCCGATGTGCTATCCATCGTAGATCTACGCCCACATTGATGTCCGTATTCGAACCCTCCACCAATTTTTTCTCGTCATTTGCCTTTAAAAAAGCGTTTTTGTATTTGTTTATATTTTAGCCTCACTTTATGAGGCAATATAAATGTGAAAGAATTTGAGCTCTTACAACATATGAAACGTCAGTCACAGATTATTACCGGGGACGAGGAAGGCGTGACGGGAGATCGAATCGGATGCAGTTTGCCTTACTCCGGGAACAATTGAGAGGCCTCCATCAAGATCACGAAAAAAAGGCCGGGCTACCGTATTGCAATAGAAGTGTCTCGAAAATTGAAACTGCTTAAGGTTCCGCACTATAAAGGGAAGTATACGCTACTCGTCCTCAAAGCGATGGCGTCAGGACGGTTTTTAGAAAAATCGCATCCAAATGACCGATCCATCGCATCATAATGCTTCGAACTCCAGCGAAATCAAACCTCCCCCTTGATGCCGTCCACCAGTACAACTATGTCATTAATACAGTGCATTTTATAAGTATAAGATCACCCTCGAATTCGGTATTTACAGGAAAAGCAGATAAGCACAAATTTTTCCGACACCACCATTACATTCATCACCTTCAATAACCCCCACATACCTGCTTAGGTTTGCTAAACTTTTATATTAACATTTATATAGATTACTTTCATTTTTTTTT